TGTGTTGGTGGAGGCCCAACTGCTTGGGAGAGCAAGAAGCAGGTTGACCAAGCTTTGAGCTCGGTGGAGTCCGAGTACATGGCACTCTTCCGTGCCGTACGGGAGATTGTGTGGCAGCGGCGTTTGTTGGCTGAATTGGGGGAGGAGCAGCAAGGACCTACCCCACTGTATTGTGACAGCCAGGGTGCCATTGCTCTTGCTAAGAACCCTGTGTTGCATGGACTCACGAAGCACATGAGGGTGAAGTGGCATTGGACGAGGAGCATGGTAACCGCGGGTGAAGTTGAGTTGCGCTACGTGAAGACCACGGGGCAGCCGGCTGACATGATGACCAAGAGGCTGGTGGAGCAGCAGCATTGGAAGTGTTGCAAGCTAGCTGGGATGGCTCTGAACTGACAGAGCAACATATCCTAAGGCCAACAATCCGAGGGGGAGTTTGTTGGTGCAACCCTATGGTTTGCACTCGGCTTGTTGTCCGTGTGCGTGCATGTGTGTGTGTGTATGGAATGGTATGAGGGCATGGGATAATATATATTTCATGCTTATAATTGTGTGTGAATGTTGAGTCATGATGTCGAGTGTGTGTGTTGAGTCAATAGCGAGTTATCGCTAGACGCGTGTTACGCGGTCGTTTGTGTCTCGCGCGGTTTCTATTTTGTCGTGCGCGGTTTCTATTTTGTCCTGTGTCGAACGTTCGGTGTGTCGCAGGTGTGTGCAGCAGACCCATAAAAAAACTCAAGGATGAGTTTGTGATGAAGAGCCCGAGCCTTGGTGTCAAGCCTCAGGTGATTTCAAAGCTCGCCAAAAGGGTACACCTCAAGATATTGAAGATAGTTACATTACTTTGTGTAGTGTAACATTTCACTTGGTGTAGGCCCTAGTGAAGGGTAGTTTCGAGACCCTTCGTGGTTGGGGACAGTGTGGCACTGTTCCACATCACTGTACCTCGGCTCTTGGGGTTTGTAGGAGCTGGGAGTCATTCCCAACTCGTAACTCTTCAGATCTCTTCCTATTTTGTGTTCTAAGACTATAGTGGCTGCCATAGTGCCGTTCGTTCAAACTGACACTGTGTCGTCAATACTTGGTCAAATCGTGCGATCTAAATTGCCTATTGTAGGCGACGTTCAGACGCTCCAGATCCAAGTTGAATCAGGTCATTTGAAGTTGTGACCAGAACGCTATGAACGTTTGAAGCCACTGTGCAGAAATCCGGCTGTGCACTCTATCTTTCGTTTTAGGCACATTGGAGCCTATTGTGACTATAACATCACTCGACCAGAAGGTGGGAAATATATAAATCTAGTGAGCTAATAAGGTTCGAAAGGAATCTAATGCATATGTATATGGAAAATGGTGCATTGGCCAGGTCGGTCAGTATGGGAACTTAGAGTGCAAATGCCAGGGAGAACGGAAGCGCTCAGATCTCGCATAGTACACGGAATCTAGTGGTCTCACTCAAATAGAAGGTAGGAAATAAATTCATCTAGTGAACGTAAGGGTTTGAAAGGTAACTAACGCACATGTGTAGAGAAAATGGTGCATCGGCCAGTCTGGCCGGCATTTCGCACTTATAGTGCAAGTAGGGCCAAGGAGAACGGAAACGCTCATTTCTCAAAATGTAAAGGGAATCTAGCGGTCTCACTCGATCAGAAGGTGGGAAATATATAAATCTAGTGAGCTAATAAGGTTCGAAAGGAATCTAATGCATATGTATATGGAAAATGGTGCATTGGCCAGGTCGGTCAGTATGGGAACTTAGAGTGCAAATGCTAGGGAGAATGGAGGCGCTCAGATCTCGCATAGTACACGGAATCTAGTGGTCTCACTCAAATAGAAGGTAGGAAATAAATTCATCTAGTGAACGTAAGGGTTTGAAAGGTAACTAACGCACATGTGTAGAGAAAATGGTGCATCGGCGAGTCTGGCCGGCATTTCGCACTTATAGTGCAAGTAGGGCCAAGGAGAACGGAAACGCTCATTTCTAAAAAAGTAAAGGGAATCTAGCGGTCTCACTCGATCAAAAGGTGGGAAATATATAAATCTAGTGAGCTAATAAGGTTCGAAAGGAATCTAATGCATATGTATATGGAAAATGGTGCATTGGCCAGGTCGGTCAGCATGGGAACTTAGAGTGCAAATGCCAGGGAGAACGGAAGCGCTCAGATCTCGCATAGTACACGGAATCTACTGGTCTCACTCAAATAGAAGGTAGGAAATAAATTCATCTAGTGAACGTAAGGGTTTGAAAGGTAACTAACGCACATGTGTAGAGAAAATGGTGCATCGGCCAGTCTGGCCGGCATTTCACACTTATAGTGCAAGTAGGGCCAAGTAGAACGGAAACGCTCATTTCTCAAAAGGTAAAGGGAATCTAGTGGTCTCACTCGATCAGAAGGTGGGAAATATATAAATCTAGTGAGCTAATAAGGCTCGGAAGGAATCTAATGCATATGTATATGGAAAGTGGTGCATTGGCCAGGTCGGTCAGTATGAGAACTTAGAGTGCAAATGCCTGGGAGAACGGAACCGCTCAGATCTCGCATCATACACGGAATCTAGTGGTCTCACTCAAATATAAGGTAGGAAATATATTCATCTAGTGAACGTAAGGGTTTGAAAGGTAACTAACGCACATGTGTAGAGAAAATGGTGCATCGGCCAGTCTGGCCGGCATTTCGCACTCATAGTGCAGGTGGGGCCAGGGAGAACGGAAACGCTTGTTTCTCAAAAACAAGAGGGAATCTAACGGTCTCACTCGATCAGAAGGTGGGAAATATATAAATCTAGTGAGCTAAAAAGGTTTGAAATGTATTCAACGCACATGTATAGAGAAAATGGTGCATTGGCCAGGTCGGTCAGTATCGGAACTTAAAATGCAAATGCCAGGGAGAACGGAAGCGCTCAGACCTCGCATAGTACACGGAATCAAGTTTGTCTCACTCAAATAGAAATTAGGAAATATATTCATCTAGTGAACGTAAGGGTTTGAAAGGTAACTAACGCACATGTGTAGAGAAAATGGTGCATCGGCCAGTCTGGCCGGCATTTCGCACTTATAGTGCAACTAGGGCCAAGGAGAACGGAAACGCTCATTTCTCAAAAATTAGAGGGAATCTAGCGGTCTCACTCGATCAGGTGGGAAATATATAAATCTAGTGAGCTAATAAGGTTAGAAAGGAATCTAATGCATATGTATATGGAAAGTGGTGCATTGGCCAGGTCGGTCAGTATGGGAACTTAGAGTGCAAATGCATGGGAGAACGGAACCGCTCAGATCTCGCATAGTACACGGAATCTAGTGGTCTCACTCAAATAGAAGGTAGGAATTAAATTCATCTAGTGAATGTAAGGGTTTGAAAGGTAACTAACGCACATGTGTAGAGAAAATTGTGCATCGGCCAGTGTGGCCGACATTTCGCAATGCACCATTTTCTCTATATATGTGCGTTAGATACCTTTCAAACCTTTTTGGCTGACTAGATTTATATATTTCCCACCTTCTGATCAAGTGAGACCGCTAGATTCCCTCTACGTTTTGAGAAACAAACGTTTCCGTTCTCCCTGGCCCCACTTGCACTATATGTGCGAAATGCCGGCCAAACTGGCCGATGCACCATTTTCTCTACACATGTGTGTTAGTTTCCTTTCAAACCCTTACGTTTACTCGATTAATATATTTCCTCTCTTATATTTGAGTGAGACCACCAGATTCCGTGTTCTATGCGAGATCTGAGCGGTTCCGTTCTCCCTGGCATTTGCACTCTAAGTTCCCATACTGACCGACCAAGCCAATGCACCATTTTCCATATACATATGCATTAGATTCCTTTCGAATCTTATATGCTCACTAGATTTATATATTTCCCACCTTTTGATCAAGTGAGACCGCTAGATTCCCTCTACTTTTTGAGAAACGAGCGTTTGCGTTCTCCCTGGCCCCACTTGCACTATAAGTGCGAAATGCCGGCCAGACTGGCCGATGCACCATTTTCTCTACACATGTGCGTTAGTTACCTTTCAAACCCTTACGTTCACTAGATGTATATATTTCCTACCTTCTATTTGAGTGAGACCACTAGATTCCGTGTACTATGCGAGATCTGAGCGCTTCCGTTCTCCCTGGCATTTGCATTTTAAGTTCCCATACTGACTGACCTGGCCAATGCACTATTTTCCATACAAATGTGCATTAGATACCTTTTGAACCTTATTAGCTCACTAGATTTATTTATTTTCCACCTTCTGATCGAGTGAGACCGCTAGATTCCCTCTACTTTTTGAGAAACGAGCGTTTTCGTTCTCCCTGGCCTCACTTGCACTATAAGTGGGAAATGCCGGCCAGACTGGCCAATGCACCATTTTCTCTACACATGTGCATTAGTTACCTTTCAGATCCTTACGTTCACTCGATGAATATATTTCTTACATTATATTTGAGTGAGACCACTAGATCCGTGTACTATGCGAGATCTGAGCGCTTCCGTTATCCCTGGCATTTGCATTTTAAGTTCCCATACTGACTGACCTGGCCAATGCACTATTTTCCATATAAATGTGCATTAGATACCTTTTGAACCTTATTAGCTCGTTAGATTTATATATTTCCCACCTTCTGATTGAGTGAGACCGCTAGATTCCCTCTACTTTTTGACAAACCAGCGTTTCCGTTCTCCCTGGCCCCACTTGCACTATAAGTGCGGAATGCCGGCCAGAGTGGCCGATGCACCATTTTCTCTACACATGTGCGTTAGTTACCTTTCAAACCCTTACGTTCACTAGATGAATATATTTCCTTCTTTCTATTTGAGTGAGACCACTTGATTCCGTGTACCATGCGAGATCTGAGCGCTTCCGTTCTGCCTGGCATTTGCATTTTAAGTTCCGATACTGAACGACCTGGGCAATGCACCATTTTCTCTATACATGTGCGTTAGGTACCTTTCAAACCTTTTTAGCTGACTAGATTTATACATTTCCCACCTTCTGATAGAGTGAGACCGCTAGATTCCCTCTACTTTTTGAGAAACGAGCGTTTCCGTTCTCCCTGGCCCCACTTGCACAATAAGTGCGAAATGCCAGCAAGACTGCCCGTCCACGTCCACGTCCACGTCCACGTCCATGTCCACGTCCACGTCCACGTCCACGTCCATCTCCACGTCCACGTCCACGTCCACGTCCATGTCCACGTCCAAGTCCTCCACGTCCACGTCCACGTCCACGTCCACGTCCACGTCCACGTCCATGTTCACGTCCACGTCCGTCCACGTCCACGTCCATGTCCACATCCAAGTCCTCCACGTCCACGTCCACGTCCACGTCCACGTCCATGTCCACGTCCACGTCCGTCCACGTCCACGTCCACGTCCACGTCCACGTCCGTCCACGTCCACGTCCACGTCCACGTCCACGTCCACGTCCACGTCCACGTCCACGTCCACGTCCACGTCCAAGTCCACGTCCACGTCCACGTCCACGTCCACGTCCACGTCCAAGTCCACGTCCACGTCCACGTCCACGTCCACGTCCACGTCCACGTCCGTGTCCACGTCCATGTCCACGTCCACGTCCGCGTCCACGTCCACGTCCACGTCCATGTCCACGTCCATGTCCACGTCCACGTCCACGTCCGCGTCCACGTCCATGTCCACGTCCGCGTCCACGTCTGCGTCCAAGTCCTCCACGTCTGCGTCCATGTCCATGTCCAGGTCCACGTCCACGTCCATGTCCACGTCCACGTCCACGTCCATGTCCACGTCCACGTCCACGTCCACGTCCAAGTCCACGTCCACCTCCACGTCCACGTCCACGTCCATGTCCACGTCCACGTCCACGTCCACCTCCACGTCCACGTCCACCTCCACGTCCACGTCCATGTCCACGTCCACGTCCATGTCCACGACCACGTCCACGTCTATGTCCACGTCCACCTCCACGTCCACGACCACTTCCACGTCCACGTCCACGTCCACGTCCACGTCCACGTCCACGACCATATCCACGTCCACGTCCACGTCCACGTCGACGTCGACGTCGACGTCCACGTCCACGTCCACGTCCACGTCCATGTCCACGTCCAAGTCCTCCACGTCCACGTCCACGTCCAGGTCGACGTCCACGTCCATGTCCACGTCCACGTCCACGTCCACGTCCATGTCCATGTCCACGTCCACGTCCACGTCTACGTCCACGTCCATGTCCACGTCCAAGTCCTCCACGTCCACGTCCACGTCCATGTCCACGTCCATGTCCACGTCCACGTCCATGTCCACGTCCGCGTCCACGTCCACGTCCACGTCCATGTCCGCGTCCGCGTCCACGTCCAAGTCCTCCACGTCCGCGTCCATGTCCATGTCCAGGTCCACGTCCACGTCCATGTCCACGTCCACGTCCATGTCCACGTCCACGTCCACGTCCACGTCCACGTCCAAGTTCTCCACGTCCACGTCCACGTCCACGTCCACGTCCACGTCCTCGTCCACGTCCACGTCCTCATGTCCACGTCCACGTCCACGTCCACGTCCACGTCCACGTCCAAGTCCGCGTCCACGTCCACGTCCACGTCCACGTCCACGTCCACGTCCACGTCCACGACCACGTCCACGTCCATGTCCACGTCCACCTCCACGTCCACGACCACCTCCACGTCCACGACCACTTCCACGTCCACGTCCACGTCCACGTCCACGTCCACGACCATGTCCACGTCCACGTCCTCGTCCATGTCCACGTCCAAGTCCTCGTCCACCTCCACGTCCACGACCAATTCCACGTCCACGTCCACGTCCACGTCCACCTCCACGTCCACGTCCACGTCCACCTCCACGTCCACGTCCATCTCCACGTCCATGTCCACGTCCACGTCCACGTCCACGTCCACGTCCATGTCCACGTCCACGTCCACGTCCACGTCCACGTCCACGTCCAGGTCCACGTCCACGTCCACGTCCAAGGTCCAGGTCCACGTCCACGTCCACGTCCACGTCCACGTCTACGTCCACGTCCATGTCCACGTCCATGTCCACGTCCATGTCCACGTCCACGTCCACGTCCCTGTCCACGTCCACGACCACGTCCACGTCCCATCCACGTCCATGTCCACGTCCACGACCACGTCAACGTCCACGTCCACGTCCACGTCCACGTCCACGTCAAAGTCCACGACCACGTCCACGTCCATGTCCACGTCCACGTCCACGTCCACGTCAAAGTCCTCCACGTCCACGTCCACGTGCATGTCCACGTCCACGTCCACGTCCACGTCCACGACCACGTCCACGTCCCGTCCACGTCCATGTCCACGTCCACGTCCACGTCCACGTCCACGTCCACGTCCACGTCCACGACCACGTCCACGTCCACGTCCACGTCCACGTCCACGTGCACGTCCACGTCCACGTCCACGTCCACGTCCATGTCCACGTCCACGTCCACGTCCACGTCCACGTCCATGTCCACGTCCATGTCCACGTCCAAGTCCTCCACGTCCACGTCCACGTCCACGACCATGTCCACGTCTACGTCCACGTCCACGTCCACGTCCACGTCCACGTCCACCTCCACGTCCACGTCCACGTCCACGTCCACGTCCACGTCCACGTCCACGTCCACGACCACGTCCACGTCCACGTCCACGTCCAGGTCCACGTCCACGTCCACGTCCACGTCCACGTCCAGGTCCACGTCCACGTCCACGTCCACGTCCACGGCCACGTCCACGTCCAGGTCCACGTCCACGTCCAGGTCCACGTCCTCGTCCACGTCCACGTCCACGTCCACGTCAAAGTCCACGACCACGTCCACGTCCATGTCCACATCCACGTCCACGTCCATGGCCACGTCCACGTCCACGTCCACGTCCACGTCCATGTCCTTCATGTCCACGTCCACGTCCACGTCCACGTCCACGTCAAAAACCACGACCATGTCCACGTCCATGTCCACGTCCATGTCCACGTCCATGTCCACGTCCATGTCCACGTCCAGGTCCAGGTCCAGGTCCAGGTCCACGTCCACGTCCACGTCCACGTCTACGTCCACGTCCACGTCCACGTCCATGTCCACGTCCATGTCCACGTCCACGTCCATGTCCACGTCCACATCCACGTCCACGTCCACGTCCCATCCACGTCCATGTCCATGTCCACGTCCACGTCCACGTCCACGACCATGTCCACGTCCACGTCCACGTCCACGTCCACGTGCACGTGCACGTCCACGTCTACGTCCACGTCAAAGTCCACGACCACGTCCACGTCCATGTCCACGTCCACGTCCACGTCCACGTCCACGTCAATGTCCACGACCATGTGCGGAGATAAACTCTACAACGGTAGTGAGCTAGACTACAGGGGTTGGCACGAACTACTAGAGGTGATCTTAGCTTTGCTTAGTTCCTTAGTGTTTGCACATTCACGGAAGAATTTGGCAAGAGTTTCCACTAGCAAAGTTGGAATTCCAGAATGATGCAAGAAGCAATGACAACAATGACTACATCAGGCACCTAGCAACCCTGCAGCTAGCCTGGTCGACCGGCAACGCAGCTCGGTCGACCGCTTGCCAGCATTGCGTAGAGGAGCCGCGCCAGCATTGCAGAAGGGCGACCTGCCAACAAAGCAGGTCGACGGCGTGCCCCGTAGAACATAGCAGTGCACGCTCGCAGGTGTGCGCAGACGATTGGCCCGACTTGCCTCGTTGGGCATCCGTCGGCTGTTGTCTGCGCCTGATGAGCCACATCGACTTCGGGATACCAGCCCGAAGTCGCCTGCGCCATCGTGATCTCGACGACGTTCGCGTGCCTCCGCAGAACTCGTCGAGCAGGTTACCCGGTCGACCTGGTCGATCCCTGGTGCTATGGTCGACTCCCAGGTGCCTCCCGTCGACCACTGGGTCCCTCTGGTCGACCACCGGGCGCTCCTGGTCGACCACACCTCCCGTCAAGCTACCCCTTGGTCGACGGACCCCTTCCGTCGACCAGAACTGCTCCCACGTCCTCCCGGTCGAGCTGCAGTTCGACGGGACGCTTCATTGACCCCCCGGTCGAGCTGCAGTTCGACGGGATGCTCCATAGACCTCCCCGTCGAACTGTAGGTCGACGGATTGCTTCATCGACCTCCCGGGCGGCTCACCCGTCACCCAGGCCAGTGAGGTGCAGCTGTCGAGCACCCTGGTCGACAGCAACACCACAGCGGTCCGCTGCAGCTCGACGTAACCTGTCGAGCAGCTATCCCACTGTGAGCGGTCGGCTGCTACTCCCGTACATCCGACCAAGTTGTCGGCGTTGCCCAAGCGAGGGCGGGGCCAACACTCCATTCCCGTTAACACTCCCCTGCCGCGCTCACGCTTGGGCCTCCAGCCCTCACGGCAGTACTCCACGGAGAGAACTCGTCCTCGCTGTGCACCCCACACACAGCACGCCGTCACCGCACCAGCCGTGCAGAAGGGCACGGCACCTACTGCTGCACCTCGTCGTTGCCGTCGCCGACGTCGACCAGACGAACTTGGCCGATGGCGACAGAGCACCGGTTGAAAGCCGGAAAATGCAGCGCCTTCGTCAGGAAATCCGCCGGCTGCTCGGTGGTCGGGATGTAGTTCAGCACAAATTTCCCGCTCCTCACCATGTTCTGCAGCCACGCGTAGCGTCGCTCCATGTGCTTGAGGTTGCCCGTCAGCCCCAAGCCCTCAGCGACAGTGATTGCCGACTTGTTGTCGACGCGGAGGATGGTCGGCTTCCCAGCGTCGAGCAGCTTGAATTCCGCAAGGAGGAAGCGAAGTCGACGCCCCTCCTTGCCGACATCCGTGGCCGCCACGTACTCCGACTCGGTCGATGATAATGTCGCGCACTTGATGCGCGAGCTCGACCAAGAGACGGCGGCCCCTCCGTAGACGAACACGTAGCCTCCCGTGCTCGTCCGGTTCTGCTTGTCGCCCGCGTCGTCGGCATCGACGTAGCCGATCAGCTCCAACGATTCTGGTCCATGGCCGAACTCCAGGGCGGTGTCGCGGGTGTCGGCAAGGAAGGCGAGGCAACGGTCGACCTCACGCCAATGCTGGTCGCTCCTCACCGTGAGGCCGCTCCCCAACTTGCTGCAAGCGAATGCAATGTCCGGCCTCGTCGTCGTCGCCGCGAACTGTAGCGAGCCGACCTTCTGCCGGTACTCTTCCTCTTCGCGCTCCTGAGCCTCCTCGTCGTCGAACGTCAGCTGAGCGTAGGCGTTGACCGAGACCGGCGTCTTTGGGACTCGACCGCCCTGCTCCTCGTCGACGAAGCGCCTGCGCAGCTTGTCGGCGTAGCCCTGCTGGTGCAGCCACAACTTCCTGGCCGGCCTGTCGCGCACGATCTCCAGCCCAAGGTACTTCTCCACCGGCGAGATCTCACGCAGCTCGAAGGCGGCCTCCAGCAGCTCCTTCAGCTCCTTCAGCATCGCGGTGCTGCTGCTGGCGGCGAGCAGGTCGTCGACGTAGACCAACACCCAGCAGGTCACACCGTCGTCGCCGGTCTTGAAGTAGAGCGCCTCGTCGACCTGGCTCTTCTTCCAGCCAGCGCCCAGCAGCACACCGTCGAGAGCCCTGCACCATAGCAGCGGCGACTGCTTCAGCCCGTAGAGGCTTTTCAGCAGCTTACACACCCGGCCGGTCCCGTCGTCGAAGTAGTCCGGCTGGTACATGTAGAGCACCCTGTCGAGCTTGCTCTGCAGGAAAGCGTTCTTCATGTCGAGCTGCATCAGGTTGAGGTCGAGGACGGCGACGATGCTGAGGAAGATCCTCAGCGTGACGTAGCTGCTCACCGGTGAGTACGTCTCGTCGTAGTCGGCGCCGTACACCTGCGTGAAGCCCTTTACGACCAGCCTCGCCTTCTCGCGCTCGACGGTGTCGTCGATGCGGTACTTGGTCGTCAGCACCCATCGGTTCTTCATAATGTTCACCCCGCGTGGGCGTTCGACCAGCTGCCAAGTCCCCATAGCGATGAGGCTACGGATTTCTTCTTCCATTGCAGCCTTCACCGCCTCGCCCTTACAGCTCGATAGCGCCTCCTTCACCGTCATCGTGGCGATGTCCCAACGGTGTTCGGGGTCGGCATGCACGTCGGGGTCGAGCTCCGGCAGGTCTTCATCCTCCTCGGCATCGTCGTACAGCAGGTCGTCGTCGACCTCGTCGTACACCGTGGTGAAGGCAGCTGGCGGTAGGCAGGCGTGGAAGCTCAACCGCTCCGGCGGCCGTCGAGCTCGACCTGAGCGTCGCAACTCAGACTTCGTGATCGGCACTTCTATCACGTCGCTGTCGGTGGACTCCTCACCCGCCGACTGCTTCCCTTTCTCGTCGACGGGAACGTCGTCGACCAGCTGCTTCGACCCTCCGACCAGCTGTTCATCTGCTGCTGCCTTCGACAGCTCTCCTGTCGACCGCTCCGGCTGCCCTGTCGAGTGCACCTCTGCTTTTGCATCCTGTTCGACCGGCTCCCCTGTCTGGTGCTCCCCTGTCGTCGACGGCTTCCCATCCTGGTCGACGAGCTTGGCGCCTTGTCGACCGCCGGCGATGCCACGGGCCGGCGCCACAGGCGACGCCTCAAGGCTCCCCTCATCGTCGGTGGTCGACACAGGCCAAGTTGCGACGGGGAACGGAGGAGCAGGAGCAGGGGAAAGGGGAAGAACCTCCACAACATCCTCATCACCGGGTCCGTCGACTTCGGCGAGCAACGGAACCGTCGCTGTCGATGTATCCGTTGGCGGGTGCGCCTGCGTCCGCTGCGACGCCGGCCCATACTTCGCCTTCCACACCTCCAGCGATAGCGTCTCGTAGAAGATCACCTCGACCGACGTGACCACCTTGTTGTCGGTCAGGTTGAGCACTTCCCAGCCCTTGCTCTCTGGCGACACACCCAGGTGAAGTCCCCAGCGAGCCTTCGGCGCCAGCTTCCCACCACGCTGCTGCTCGGGAACCATGAACTGCACCATGCATCCCCACACCCGCGCCAGCGCAAGGTCGGGCTTCTGCCCGGTCAGCAGCTGGTACGGAGTCGTCCCCGGCGGCGTCGTCGACCGCTCCAAGCAGTTGCGCACCCAGACAGCTTGTCGTAGAGCAAGGTGCCACCAGTGGTGCTGCACGCCCATGTGCAGCAACATCGTCCGCACGGACTCGACGGCCGTGCGCATCTCCCGCTCAGCCATGCCATTCTGCTGCGGAGTGTAGGGGCATGTCAGGTCGTGGACGATGCCCTTCCCGTCGACGAAGTCGGTGAACGCCTTCCCGAGGAACTCCCCGCCTCAATCGGAGCGAAGCGACAGCACCGACTTCTTCGTCTGCCGTTCCACCAGCAACAGCCACCGCTGGAACTCCCGCAGCACGTCGCTCTTCTTAGCGACCGGCATTGCCCATACAAATCGAGTATGGCGATCCTTCAGCAGCAGGAAGTACAAGCTGCCATCCTTGGCAGCCACCCGAAATGGCCCGCACAAGTCAATGTGCACGACAGCCAGCGCCTCCGCTGCATCCGAGCCCTTGGCGGGGAAGGTGTGCCGCGCCAACTTTCCTCCGACACACGAGACACATGGCGGGTCTGCTCCGGTTGACGACGTGATGTCGAGCCCAGTAGCAACATCGTGCTTCGCCGAGCTCTTGATCGTGTCGACGCTGACGTGGGCAAGCCGCGCATGCATCCTATCGGGGGTCGTCTTCGTCGCCGAGACGATCGTCCGCAGAGCCACCACCTCGGTCGACTGCGACTGTGTCGAGCAGGGGCGAAGGTCGGTGCAGAGGACTCGTCCGGTGTAGCGTGCTCGACCGAGCACCTCTCCAGTCGCGGCGACGAGCAGCATCTCATCGCCATCGCCCTGCAGTAGCACGCCGCTCTCCTTCAGCTGGCCAGCAGACAACAGGTTCGCCTGAACTCCCAGAACGTAGAGCACGTCGGGGATGAGGACCCGCTTCCCGGCCTCCCCTTGCAGGGCGACGGTTCCGCGACCCTCGACAGGCTGCAATGCCCCGTTGAACCCACGCACGTGCTTCACTCCGTCGCTCGGCCCCATGTCGACGAAGACCGATTTCGTCCCCATCAGGTGGCGGGAGCACCCGCTGTCGAGCAGCACCGCCATCGGGTTGGCCTGCACAGCTGCTGCCACCGCCTGGAAGTCCTCACCAGCCTCCGGCGCCAGTGAGACCGTCGGCTCCACCACGCCGACCATCGAGCACGACGCCTCCCCGTCGCCTCGGCTCTTGCCGCTGGAGCTGTCGACGTCCTTCGTCGACGACGTCTTCTTCGACGCCTGCTTCTCCTTGCGCGGCTTCTCATTTCGACGGGGGCGACGACTGGCCGATCGACCACGGTCTCCCTTGTTGTCGTCCTCGTCGCTGTCATCGCGGTCGGGGCACTCGAAGGAGAGATGGTCGGGGTCGCCGCAGATCCAGCACTCCCGCCGTCGACCACCACCTCGTCGACCCTTGTCCCGCGTCGACCGCTTCTCGTCGACGTCCTTCGTCGACCGCCCACTTCCGCTACCACCTCCGCCTTGTTTCCCGCGCTGCTCCCACTGGCTATTTGGCTTCGTCGGTGCAGCGTAACTCGCCAGCGGAAGGAACTCCGTGGGCTGTTCTGCCTCCTGCATCACCTCATCCTGGAGAATGTAGCTGGTGATGGAGTCCTCGTGGAGGGACTCACGAGTGCCGGGCACCATCATCATCCTCTTCATGAGATTGTTGCTGCGCGACAAGCCCTTGACGATGTGGGTAATGTAGGACGCCGTCGAGTATTCGGCGCCCGCCATTCGCATTTCAGCAAGGATCCGTCGAGCACGGTTGCAGTAATCCGTCGCCGACTCCTGCTCGCCCATCCGAAGGTGAGTCATCTTCTCCTCCAGCTGCCCGATGTACAGGTCGTCCCTGACCTGGTACGTCGACATGATGAAGCGCCATGCCTGGTGGCCAGCATTTAGTCGCTCTCGACAGCTCCTCAGCGCTAGCTGCACCACCGGCGAGCAGCACCTCGAGATGACCATGAAGGTGAGCAGGTGAGCCGAACGAAACTCCCCGCGCAGCCCGACGTCCTCCTCGAGCGGAATTGGCACGGTGCCGTCGGCGAAGCCCTTCAGCCTGGCGACCTCCAGATGAGGTTCGATCGATTCCCTCCAGGTGATGAGGTCCCGTTGACCTTGCAGCGGAGCGACGGCGATCCGGTCCGGCAAGAACTTGAAGTAGCCATACGCCAGTGCAATCCCGCCCGCTGTCACATGTGTCATCACCGAGAGCCCTCCACCACTTCGTGGAGGAGAACGGCGTCGAACATCGACGTCGGCATTCGAGCTTCTTGCAGTGGCCGTCGACCGCTGCACTCGCGCCTGGATTCCGTCGGCACCACCGTCGACTTTGATCACTCCTCTCTGCCTCGTGCCTTCGCTGCCGTTGACTCGTGCACCACCGTCGACATCGTCGTCGACGCCACCTTCGTTGCGCACCGGTCGGGGAGAAGTAGGACGGGAAGGGTGTTCCGTCGCCCACTGCGATCGGATGCCCAACTCGGCGATCACCAAGGGGATCGTCCCGTACTCGCCATTCGCGTGGCGTCTCCTCGCGTCAGCCAAGCGTGCCTCCAAGGTGTCCGCTACGCCCGCATCAACTACGGGGTCGACCATGGCGACTATCGCTGCTGCCGGCCTACGAACGACTTAGTAGGTGCAAAAGTCGGCTCCTATCTGAAGGTCGCGTGTTCGATCCACGCTCACCGCACCATGCGGAGATAAACTCTACAACGGTAGTGAGCTAGACTACAGGGGTTGGCACGAACTACTAGAGGTGATCTTAGCTTTGCTTAGTTCCTTAGTGTTTGCACATTCACGGAAGAATTTGGCAAGAGTTTCCACTAGCAAAGTTGGAATTCCAGAATGATGCAAGAAACAATGACAACAATGACTACATCAGGCACCTAGCAACCCTGTAGCTAGCCTGGTCGACCGCCAACGCAGCTCGGTCGACCGCCTGCCAGCATTGCGTAGAGGAGCCGAGCCAGCATTGCAGAAGGGCGACCTGCCAACAAAGCAGGTCGACGGCGTGCCCCGTAGAACACAACAGTGCGCGCGCTCGCAGGTGTGCGCAGACGATTGGCCCGACTTGCCTCGTTGGGCATCCGTCGGCTGTTGTCTGCGCCTGATGAGCCACATCGACTTCGGGATACCAGCCCGAAGTCGCCTGCGCCATCGCGATCTCGACGACGTTCGCGTGCCTCCGCAGAACTCGTCGAGCAGGTTACCCGGTCGACCTGGTCGACCCCTGGTGCTCTGGTCGACTCCCAGGTGCCTCCCGTCGACCACTGGGTCCCTCTGGTCGACCACCGGGCGCTCCTGGTCGACCACACCTCCCGTCAAGCTACCCCTTGGTCGACGGACCCCTTCCGTCGACCAGAACTGCTCCGACGTCCTCCCGGTCGAGCTGCAGTTCGACGGGACGCTTCGTTGACCCCCCGGTCAAGCTGCAGTTCGACGGGATGCTCCATAGACCTCCCCGTCGAACTGTAGGTCGACGGACTGCTTCGTCGACCTCCCGGACGGCTCACTCGTCGCCCAGGCCAGTCAGGTGCAGCTGTCGAGCACCCTGGTCGACAGCAACACCACAGCGGTCCGCTGCAGCTCGACGTAACCTGTCGAGCAGCTATCCCACTGTGAGCGGTCGGCTGCTACTCCCGTACATCCGACCAAGTTGTCGGCGTTGCCCAAGCGAGGGCGGGGCCAACACTCCATTCCCGTTAACGCCATGTCCACGTCCATGTCCACGTCCACGTCCACGTCCACGTCCATGTCCACGTCCACGTCCACGTCCATGTCCACGTCCACGTCCACGTCCATGTCCACGTCCATGTCCACGTCCAAGTCCTCCACGTCCACGTCCACGTCCAAGTCCATGTCCATGTCCACGTCTACGTCCACGTCCACGTCTACGTCCATGTCCAGTCCATGTCCACGTCCATGTCCATGTCCATGTCCACGTCCATGTCCACGTCCACGTCCACGTCCACGTCCATGTCCACGTCCACGTCCACGTCCACGTCCACGTCCACGTCCATGTCCAAGTTCACGTCCACGTCCACGTCCACGTCCAGGTCCACGTCCATGTCCACCTCCATGTCCATGTCCACGTCCACGTCCACGTCCACGTCCATGTCCACGTCCACGTCCACGTCCACGTCCACGTCCACGTCCATGGCCACGTCCACGTCCATGTCCACGTCCACGTCCATGTCCACGTCCACGCCCAAGTCCACGCCCACGTCCACGGCCACGTCCATGGCCACGTCCACGTCCACGTCCACGTCCACGTCCACGTCCATGGCCACGTCCATGGCCACGTCCACGTCCATGTCCACGTCCACGTCCACGTTTTCTCTACGTCCATGTCCACGTCCACGTCCACGTCCATGGCCACGTCCACGTCCACGTCCACGTCCACGTCCACCTCCACGTCCACGTCCACGTCCACCTCCACGTCCACGTACACGTCCACGTCCACGTCCACGTCCACGTCCACGTCCACGTCCACGTCCACGTCCACGACCATGTCCACGTCCACGTCCACGTCCACGTCCACGTGCACGTCCACGTCCACGTGCACGTCCACGTCCACGTCCACGTCCATGTCCACGTCCACGTCCAGGTCCACGTCCACGTCCACGTCAAAGTCCACGACCATGTCCACGTCCATGTCCACGTCCATGTCCACGTCCACGTCCACGTCCACGTCCATATCTACGTCCACGTCCACGTCCACGTCCATGTCCACGTCCATGTCCACGTCCACGTCCACGTCCATGTCCACGTCCAGGTCCACGTCCACGTCCACGTCCACGTCCACGTCCATGGCCACGTCCACGTCCATGTCCACGTCCACGTCCACGCCCAAGTCCACGCCCACGTCCACGGCCACGTCCATGGCCACGTCCACGTCCACGTCCACGTCCACGTCCACGTCCACGTCCATGGCCACGTCCATGGCCACGTCCACGTCCATGTCCACGTCCACGTCCACGTTTTCTCTACGTCCATGTCCACGTCCACGTCCATGGCCACGTCCACGTCCACGTCCACGTCCACGTCCACCTCCACGTCTACGTCCACGTCCACCTCCACGTCCACGTACACGTCCACGTCCACGTCCACGTCCACGTCCACGTCCACGTCCACGACCATGTCCACGTCCACGTCCACGTCCACGTCCACGTGCACGTCCACGTCCACGTGCACGTCCACGTCCACGTCCATGTCCACGTCCATGTCCAGGTCCACGTCCACGTCCACGTCAAAGTCCACGACCATGTCCACGTCCATGTCCACGTCCATGTCCACGTCCACGTCCACGTCCACGTCCATATCTACGTCCACGTCCACGTCCACGTCCATGTCCACGTCCATGTCCACGTCCATGGCCACGTCCATGTCCACGTCCAGGTCCACGTCCACGTCCACGTCCACGTCTACGTCCACGTCCACGTCCACGTCCACGTCCACGTCCACGACCATGTCCACGTCCATGTCCACGTCCATGTCCACGTCCACGTCCACGTCCACGTCCACGTCCACGTCCAGGTCCACGTCCAGGTCCACGTCCACGTCCACGTCCACGTCCACGTCTACGTCCACGTCCACGTCCACGTCCACGACCATGTCCACGTCCATGTCCACGTCCACGTCCACGTCCACGTCCACGTCCACGACCACGTCCACGTCCACGTCCACGTCCACGTCCATGTCCACGTCCATCCACGTCCACGTCCACGTCCACGTCCACGTCCACATCCACGTCCACGTCCACGTCCACGTCCACGTGCACGTCCACGTCCACGTCCACGTCCACGTCCACGCCCACGCCCACCTCCACGGCCACGTCCATGGCCACGTCCACGTCCATGTCCACGTCCACGTCCATGGCCACGTCCATGGCCACGTCCACGTCCATGTCCACGTCCACGTCCACGTCCAAGTCCACGTCCACGGCCACGTCCACGTCCATGTCCACGTCCACGTCCACGTCCACGTCCACGTCCACCTCCACGTCCACGTCCACGTCCACGTCCACGTCCACGTCCACGTCCAGGTCCACGTCCAGGTCCACGTCCACGTCCACGTCCACGTCCACGTCCACGTCCACGTCCACGTCCATGTCCACGTCCACGTCCACGTCCACGTCCACGTCCACGTCCACGTCCACGTCCATGTCCACGTCCACGTCCATGTCCACGTCCACGTCCATGTCCACGTCCACGTCCACGTCCACGTCCACGTCCAAGTCCACGTCCACGTCCACGTCCACGTCCATGTCCACGTCCATGTACACGTCCACGTCCACGTCCACGTCCACGTCCACGACCAAGTCCACGTCCACGTCCACGTCCACGTGCACGTCGACGTCCACGTCCACGTCAAAGTCCACGACCACGTCCACGTCCATGTCCACGTCCACGTCCATGTCCACCTCCACGTCCACGTCAAAGTCCACGACCATGTCCACGTCCATGTCCACGTCCATGTCCACGTCCACGTCCACGTCCACGTCCATATCTATGTCCACGTCCATGTCCACGTCCATGTCCACGTCCATGTCCACGTCCACGTCCACGTCCACGTCCACGTCCATGTCCACGTCCACGTCCACGTCCACGTCCACGTCCACGTCCACGACCATGTCCACGTCCATGTCCACGTCCATGTCCACGTCCACGTCCAGGTCCACGTCCACGTCCATGTCCACGTCCACGTCCAGGTCCACGTCCACGTCCACGTCCACGTCCACGTCCACATCTACGTCCACGTCCATGTCCATGTCCACGACCACGTCCACGTCCACGTCCACGTCCACGTCCACGTCTATGTCCACGTCCATCCACGTCCACGTCCACGTCCACCTCCACGTCCACGTCCACGTCCACGTCCACGTGCACGTCCACGTCCACGTCCACGTCCACGTCAAAGTCCACGACCACGTCCACGTCCATGTCCACGTCCACGTCCACGTCCACGTCAAAGTCCACGACCATGTCCACCTCCATGTCCACGTCCACGTCTACGTCCACGTCCATGTCCACTTCCATGTCCCATCCACGTCCATGTCCACGTCCACGTCCACGTCCACGTCCACGACCTTGTCCACGTCCACGTCCACGTCCACGTCCATGTCCACGTCCATGTCCACGTCCACGTCCACGTCCACGACCATGTCCACGTCCACGTCCACGTCCACGTTCACGTCCACGTCCACGTCAAAGTCCACGACCACGTCCACGTCCATGTCCACGTCCACGTCCAGGTCCACATCCACGTCCACGTCAAAGTCCACGACCATGTCCACGTCCATGTCCACGTCCATGTCCACGTCCACGTCCACGTCCACGGCCACGTCCATGGCCACGTCCACGTCCACGTCCACGTCCACGGCCACGTCCATGGCCACGTCCATGGCCACGTCCACGTCCATGTCCACGTCCACGTCCACGTCCACGTCCACGTCCACGGCCACCTCCACGTCCATGTCCACGTCCACGTCCACGTCCACGTCCACGTCCACCTCCACGTCCACGTCCACGTCCATGTCCACGTCCACGTCCACGTCCACGACCATGTCCACGTCCACGTCCACGTCCACGTCCAGGTCCACGTCCACGTCCACGTCCACGTCCACGTCCACGTCCATGTCCACGTCCACGTCCACGTCCACGTCCACGTCCACGTCCACGTCCACGTCAAATTCCACGACCATGTCCACGTCCATGTCCACGTCCATGTCCACGTCCACGTCCACGTCCACGTCCACGTCCATATCTACGTCCACGTCCACGTCCACGTCCATGTCCACGTCCATGTCCACGTCCATGTCCACGTCCACGTCCACGTCCAGGTCCACGTCCAGGTCCACGTCCACGTCCACGTCCACGTCCACGTCCACGTCCACGTCCACGTCCACGACCATGTCCACGTCCATGTCCACGTCCACGCCCACGTCCACGCCCACCTCCACGGCCACGTCCATGGCCACGTCCACGTCCATGTCCACGTCCACGTCCATGGCCACGTCCATGGCCACGTCCACGTCCATGTCCACGTCCACGTCCACGTCCAAGTCCACGTCCACGGCCACGTCCACGTCCATGTCCACGTCCACGTCCATGCCACGTCCACGTCCACGTCCACCTCCACGTCCACGTCCACGTCCACGTCCACGTCCACGTCCACGTCCAGGTCCACGTCCAGGTCCACGTCCACGTCCACGTCCACGTCCACGTCCACGTCCACGTCCATGTCCACGTCCACGTCCACGTCCACGTCCACGTCCACGTCCACGTCCACGTCCACGTCCATGTCCACGTCCATGTCCACGTCCATGTCCACGTCCACGTCCATGTCCACGTCCACGTCCACGTCCACGTCCACGTCCACGTCCAAGTCCACGTCCACGTCCACGTCCACGTCCATGTCCACGTCCATGTCCACGTCCACGTCCACGTCCACGTCCACGTCCACGACCAAGTCCACGTCCACGTCCACGTCCACGTCCACGTGCACGTCGACGTCCACGTCCACGTCAAAGTCCACGACCACGTCCACGTCCATGTCCACGTCCACGTCCATGTCCACCTCCACGTCCACGTCAAAGTCCACGACCATGTCCACGTCCATGTCCACGTCCATGTCCACGTCCACGTCCACGTCCACGTCCATATCTATGTCCACGTCCATGTCCACGTCCATGTCCACGTCCATGTCCACGTCCACGTCCACGTCCACGTCCACGTCCATGTCCACGTCCACGTCCACGTCCACGTCCACGTCCACGTCCACGTCCACGACCATGTCCACGTCCATGTCCACGTCCATGTCCACGTCCACGTCCAGGTCCACGTCCACGTCCATGTCCACGTCCACGTCCAGGTCCACGTCCACGTCCACGTCCACGTCCACGTCCACGTCTACGTCCACGTCCATGTCCATGTCCACGACCACGTCCACGTCCACGTCCACGTCCACGTCCATGTCCACGTCCATCCACGTCCACGTCCACGTCCACCTCCACGTCCACGTCCACGTCCACGTGCACGTCCACGTCCACGTCCACGTCCACGTCAAAGTCCACGACCACGTCCACGTCCATGTCCACGTCCACGTCCACGTCCACGTCAAAGTCCACGACCATGTCCACCTCCATGTCCACGTCCACGTCTACGTCCACGTCCATGTCCACTTCCATGTCCCATCCACGTCCATGTCCACGTCCACGTCCACGTCCACGACCTTGTCCACGTCCACGTCCACGTCCACGTCCATGTCCACTTTCATGTCCACGTCCACGTCCACGACCATGTCCACGTCCACGTCCACGTCCACGTTCACGTCCACGTCCACGTCAAAGTCCACGACCACGTCCACGTCCATGTCCACGTCCACGTCCAGGTCCACATCCACGTCCACGTCAAAGTCCACGACCATGTCCACGTCCATGTCCACGTCCATGTCCACGTCCACGTCCACGTCCACGGCCACGTCCATGGCCACGTCCACGTCCACGTCCACGGCCACGTCCATGGCCACGTCCATGGCCACGTCCACGTCCATGTCCACGTCCACGTCCACGTCCACGTCCACGGCCACCTCCACGTCCATGTCCACGTCCACGTCCACGTCCACGTCCACGTCCACGTCCACCTCCACGTCCACGTCCACGTCCATGTCCACGTCCACGTCCACGTCCACGTCCACGACCATGTCCACGTCCACGTCCACGTCCACGTCCAGGTCCACGTCCACGTCCACGTCCACGTCCACGTCCACGTCCACGTCCATGTCCACGTCCACGTCCACGTCCACGTCCACGTCCACGTCCATGTCCACGTCCACGTCCACGTCCACGTCCACGTCCACGTCCACGTCAAATTCCACGACCATGTCCACGTCCATGTCCACGTCCATGTCCACGTCCACGTCCACGTCCACGTCCATATCTACGTCCACGTCCACGTCCACGTCCATCGACGTCCACGTCCATGTCCACGTCCATGTCCACGTCCACGTCCACGTCCAGGTCCACGTCCAGGTCCACGTCCACGTCCACGTCCACGTCCACGTCCACGTCCACGTCCACGACCATGTCCACGTCCATGTCCACGTCCATGTCCACGTCCACGTCCACGTCCACGTCCACGTCTATGTCCACGTCCACGTCCAGGTCCACGTCCACGTCCACGTCCACGTCCACGTCCACGTCCACGTCCACGTCCATGTCCACGTCCACGTCCACGTCCACGTCCACGTCCACGTCCACGTCCACGTTCATCCACGTCCACGTCCACGTCCACGCACGTCCACGTCCACGTCCACATCCACGTCCACGTCCACGTCCACGACCACGTCCACGTCAACGTCAACGTCCAAGTCTACGTCCACGTCCACGTCCATGTCCACGTCCACGTCCACGTCCACGTCCACGACCACGTCCACGTCCACGTCCACGTCCACGTCCACGTCCATGTCCACGTCCACGTCCACGTCCACGTCCATGTCCATGTCCACGTCCACGTCCACGTCCACGTCCACGACCACGTCCACGTCCACGTCCACGTCTACGACCACGTCCACACGACCATGTCCACGTCCACACGACCATGGACGTGGACGTGGACGTGGACGTGGACGTGGACGTGGACCTGGACGTGGACGTGGTCGTGGACGTGGACGTGGACGTGGACGTGGACGTTGACGTGGACGTGGACGTGGTCGTAGACGTGGACGTGGACGTGAACGTGGACGTGGACGTTGACGTGGACGTGGACGTAGACCTGGTCGTGGACGTGGACGTGGACGTGGACGTGGACGTGGGCCTGGTCGTGGACGTGGACGTGGACATGGTCGTGGACGTGGACGTGGACGTGGACGTGGAGGTGGACGTGGACGTGGACGTGGACGTGGACGTGGACATGGACGTGGACGTGGACATGGACATGGACGTGGACATGGTCGTGGACATGGACGTGGACGTGGACGTGGACGTGGAGGTGGACGTGGACGTGGACGTGGAGGTGGACGTGGACGTGGACGTGGACGTGGACGTGGACGTGGAGGTGGACGTGGACGTGGAGGTGGACGTGGACGTGGACGTGGAGGTGGACGTGGACATGGACGTAGACGTGGACGTGGACGTGGACGTGGACATGGACGTGGACGTGGACGTGGACGTGGACGTGGTCGTGGACGTGGACGTGGACGTGGACGTGGACGTTGACGTGGACGTGGACCTGGTCGTGGACGTGGACGTGGACGTGGACGTGGACGTCGACGTGGACGTGGACATGGACATGGTCGTGGACGTGGACGTGGACGTGGACGTGGACGTGGACTTGGACATGGTCGTGGACGTGGACGTGGACGTGGTCGTGGACGTGGACGTGGACGTGGACGTGGACATGGACGTGGACGTGGACGTTGACGTGGACGTGGACGTGGTCGTGGACGTGGACGTGGACGTGGACGTTGACGTGGACGTGGACCTGGTCGTGGACGTGGACGTGGACGTGGACGTCGACGTGGACGTGGACATGGACATGGTCGTGGACGTGGACGTGGACGTGGACGTGGACGTGGACTTGGACATGGTCGTGGACGTGGACGTGGACGTGGACGTGGACGTGGACGTGGACATGGTCATGGACATGGACGTGGACGTGGACATGGACGTGGACGTGGACGTGGACGTGGAGGTGGACGTGGAGATAGACGTGGAGGTGGACGTGGAGGTGGAGGTGGACGTGGACGTGGACGTGGAGGTGGACGTGGACGTGGCATGGACGTGGACGTGGACGTGGACGTGGACGTGGACCTGGACGTGGACGTGGTCGTGGACGTGGACGTGGACGTGGACGTGGACGTTGACGTGGACGTGGACGTGGTCGTAGACGTGGACGTGGACGTGAACGTGGACGTGGACGTTGACGTGGACGTGGACGTAGACCTGGTCGTGGACGTGGACGTGGACGTGGACGTGGACGTGGGCCTGGTCGTGGACGTGGACGTGGACATGGTCGTGGACGTGGACGTGGACGTGGACGTGGAGGTGGACGTGGACGTGGACGTGGACGTGGACATGGACGTGGACGTGGACATGGACATGGACGTGGACATGGTCGTGGACATGGACGTGGACGTGGACGTGGACGTGGAGGTGGACGTGGACGTGGACGTGGAGGTGGACGTGGACGTGGACGTGGACGTGGACGTGGACGTAGACGTGGACGTGGAGGTGGACGTGGACGTGGAGGTGGACGTGGACGTGGACGTGGAGGTGGACGTGGACATGGACGTAGACGTGGACGTGGACGTGGACATGGACGTGGACGTGGACGTGGACGTGGTCGTGGACGTGGACGTGGACGTGGACGTGGACGTGGACATGGACGTGGACGTGGACGTGGGCTTGGACGTTGACGTTGACGTGGACGTGGTCGTGGACGTGGACGTGGACGTGGACGTGGACGTGGACATGGTCGTGGACGTGGACGTGGACGTGGACGTGGAGGTGGACGTGGACGTGGACGTGGAGGTGGACGTGGACATGGACGTAGACGTGGACGTGGACGTGGACATGGACGTGGACGTGGACGTGGACGTGGACGTGGACGTGGTCGTGGACGTGGACGTGGACGTGGACGTGGACATGGTTGTGGACGTGGTCGTGGACGTGGACGTGGACGTGGACGTGGACCTGGTCGTGGACGTGGACGTGGACGTCGACGTGGACGTGGTCGTTGACGTGGACGTGGACGTGGACGTGGACGTTGACGTGGACGTGGACGTGGACATGGTCGTGTGGACGTGGTCGTAGACGTGGACGTGGACGTGGACGTGGTCGTGGACGTGGACGTGGACGTGGACATGGACGTGGACGTGGACGTGGACGTGGAGGTGGACGTGGACGTGGACGTGGAGGTGGACGTGGACGTGGACGTGGACGTGGACGTGGACGTAGACGTGGACGTGGAGGTGGACGTGGACGTGGAGGTGGACGTGGACGTGGACGTGGAGGTGGACGTGGACATGGACGTAGACGTGGACGTGGACGTGGACGTGGACATGGACGTGGACGTGGACGTGGACGTGGACGTGGACGTGGTCGTGGACGTGGACGTGGACGTGGACGTGGACGTGGACATGGTTGTGGACGTGGTCGTGGACGTGGACGTGGACGTGGACGTGGACCTGGTCGTGGACGTGGACGTGGACGTCGACGTGGACGTGGTCGTTGACGTGGACGTGGACGTGGACGTGGACGTTGACGTGGACGTGGACGTGGACATGGTCGTGTGGACGTGGTCGTAGACGTGGACGTGGACGTGGACGTGGTCGTGGACGTGGACGTGGACGTGGACGTGGACGTGGACATGGACGTGGACGTGGACGTGGACGTGGACGTTGACGTGGACGTGGACGTGGTCGTGGACGTGGACGTGGACGTGGACGTTGACGTGGACGTGGACGTGGACCTGGTCGTGGACGTGGACGTGGACGTGGACGTCGACGTCGACGTGGACGTGGACGTGGACATGGTCGTGGACGTGGACGTGGACGTGGACGTGGACTTGGACATGGTCGTGGACGTGGACGTGGACGTGGACGTGGACGTGGATGTGGACATGGTCATGGACATGGAGGTGGACGTGGACGTGGACGTGGACGTGGACGTGGAGGTGGACGTGGAGATAGACGTGGAGGTGGACGTGGAGGTGGAGGTGGACGTGGACGTGGAGGTGGAGGTGGTTGTGGACGTGGCATGGACGTGGACGTGGACATGGACGTGGACGTGGACGTGGACGTAGACGTGGACGTGGACGTGGACGTGGACATGGACGTGGACATGGACGTAGACATGGACGTGGACCTGGACGTAGACGTGGACGTGGACGTGGACATGGTCGTGGACGTGGACGTGGACATGGTCGTGGACGTGGACGTGGACATGGTCGTGGACGTGGACGTGAACGTGGACGTGGACGTGGACATGGACGTGAACGTGGACGTGGACGTGAACCTGGACGTGGACGTGGACGTGGACATGGTCGTGGATGTGGACGTGGACCTGGTCGTGGATGTTGACGTGGACGTGGACGTGGACGTGGACTTGGACGTGGACGTGGACGTGGACGTGGACGTGGAGGTGGACGTGGAGATGGACGTGGAGGTGGACGTGGAGGTGGAGGTGGACGTGGACGTGGACGTGGAGGTGGACATGGACGTGGACGTGGACGTGCACGTGGACGTGGACGTGGACGTGGACATGGACGTGCACATGGACGTAGACATGGACGTGGACATGGACATGGACGTGGACCTGGACGTGGACATGGACGTGGACGTGGACCTGGACGTAGACGTGGACGTGGACGTGGACATGGTCGTGGACGTGGACTTGGACGTGGACGTGGACGTGGACGTGGACATGGTCGTGGACGTGGACGTGGACTTGGACGTGGACGTGGACGTGGACGTGGACCTGGTCATGGACGTGGACGTGGACATGGACATGGACGTGGTCGTGGTCGTGGACGTGGACGTGGACGCGGACGTGGACGGGGACGCGGACGTGGACGTGGACGTGGACGCGGACGTGGACATGGACGTGGTCGAGGACGTGGACGTGGACCTGGTCGAGGACGTGGACGTGGACGTGGACGTGGTCTTGGACCTGGACGTGGACGTGGACGTGGACGTGGACGTGGACGCGGACGTGGACGTGGACGCGGACGTGGACGTGGACGCGGACGTGGACGTGGACGCGGACGTGGACGTGGACGTGGACGTGGACGTCGACGTGGACGTGGACGTGGACGTGGACGTGGTCGCGGACGTAGACGTCGACGTGGTCGCGGACGTGGACGTGGACGCGGACGTGGGGACGTCGAGATGGTCGCGGACGTGGACGTGGACGCGGACGTGGACGTGGACGTGGACGCGGACGTGGTCCTGGACGTGGACGTGGACGTGGTCGTGGACGTGGACGTGGACGTGGTCGTGGACGTAGACGTGGACGTGGACGTGGACGTGGACGTGGATGTGGACGTGGACGTGGACGTGGACGTGGACGTGGTCGTGGACGTGGACGTGGACGTGGACGTGGTCGTGGACGTGGACGTGGAGGACTAGGACGTGGACATGGACGTGGACGTGGACGTGGACGTGGACGTGGATGTGGACGAGAACGTGGACGAGAACGTGGACGTGGACATGGACATGGACGTGGACGTGGACGTGGTCGTGGACGTGGTCGTGGACGTGGACGTGGATGTGGACGTAGACTTGGACTTGGACGTGGTCGTGGACGTGGACTTGGACTTGGACGTGGTCGTGGACGTGGACGTGGACATGGACGTGGACGTGGACTTGGACGTGGACGTGGACGTGGACGTGGACGTGGTCGTGGACGTGGACGTGGACGTGGACGTGGACGTGGACGTGGTCGTGGACGTGGACGTGGACGTGGACGTGGACGTGGACGTGGACGTGGACGTAGACGTGGACGTAGACGTGGACGTGGACGTGGACGTGGACGTGGTCGTGGACGTGGACGTGGACGTGGACGTGGACGTGGTCGTGGACATGGTCGTGGACGTGGACGTGGACGTGGACGTGGACTTGGACGTGGACGTGGACGTGGACGTGGACGTGGACGTGGACGTGGACTTGGACGTGGACGTGGACGTGGACGTGGACGTGGACGTGGACGTGGTCGTGGAGGTGGACGTGGAGGTGGACGTGGACGTGGACGTGGACGTGGACGTGGACGTGGACGTGGTCGTGGACGTGGACGTGGACGTGGACGTGGACGTGGACGTGGACGTGGACGTGGACGTGAACGTGGACGTGAACGTGGACGTGGACGTGGACGTGGACGTGGACGTAGTCGTGGACGTAGTCGTGGACGTGGACGTGGACGTGGACGTGGACCTGGACATGGACCTGGACATGGACGTGGACGTGGACGTGAACGTGGACGTGGACGTGAACGTGGACGTGGACCTGGACGTGGACGTGGACGTGGACGTGGACGTGGACGTGGTCGTGGACGTGGACGTGGACGTGGACGTGGACTTGGACATGGACGTGGACGTGGACGTGGACGTGGACGTGGACGTGGACGTGGACGTGGACGTGGTCGTGGACGTGGACGTGGACCTGGACGTGGACGTGGACATGGACATGGACGTGGACGTGGACATGGACGTGAACGTGAACGTGGACGTGGACATGGACGTGGACGTGGACGTGGACGTGGACGTGGTCGTGGATTTGGACATGGTCGTGGACGTGGTCGTGGACGTGGACATGGTCGTGGACATGGACGTGGACGTGGACGTGGACGTGGACGTGGACGTGGACATGGACGTGGACGTGGACGTGGACGTGGACATGGACCTGGACGTGGACGTGGACATGGACATGGACGTGGACGTGGACGTGGACGTGGACGTGAACGTGGACGTGGACGTGGTCGTGGACGTGGACGTGGACGTGGACGTGGTCGTGGACGTGGACGTGGACTTGGACGTGGTCGTGGACGTGGTCATGGACGTGGACATGGTCGTGGACGTGGACGTGGACGTGGACGTGGACATGGTCGTGGACGTGGACGTGGACGTGGACGTGGACATGGTCGTGGACGTGGACGTGGACGTGGTCGTGGACGTGGACGTGGACGTGGACGTGGACATGGACGTGGACGTGGACGTGGACATGGACATGGACGTGGTCGTGGACGTGGACGTGGACGTGGACGTGAACGTGGACGTGGACGTGGACGTGGTCGTGGACGTGGACGTGGACGTGGACGTGGTCGTGGACGTGGACGTGGACATGGACGTGGACGTGGACATGAACGTGGACGTGGACGTGGACGTGGACATGGACGTGGACGTGGACATGGACGTGGACGTGGACGAGAACGTGGACGTGGACATGGACGTGGACGTGGACGTGGACGTGGTCGTGGACGTGGTCGTGGACGTGGACGTGGACGTGGACGTGGTCGTGGACGTGGACGTGGACGTGGACGTGGACGTGGTCGTGGACGTGGACGTGGACGTGGACTTGGACTTGGTCGTGGACGTGGTCGTGGACATGGTCGTGGACGTGGACGTGGACGTGGACGTGGACTTGGACGTGGACGTGGACGTGGACGTGGACGTGGTCGTGGACGTGGACGTGGACGTGGACGTGAACGTGGACCTGGACGTGGACGTGGACGTGGACGTAGACGTGGACGTGGACATGGACGTGGACGTGGACGTGGACGTGGACATGGTCGTGGACGTGGACATGGACGTGGACGTGGACGTGGACGTGGACGTGGACGAGGACGTGGACGTGGACGTGGACGTGGACGTGAACGTGGACGTGGAGGTGGACGTGGAGGTGGACGTGGACATGGTCGTGGACGTGGACGTGGACGTGGACGTGGACGTGGACGTGGACGTGGAGGTGGACGTGGTCGTGGACGTGGAGGTGGTCGTGGACGTGGACGTGGACGTGAACGTGGACGTGGACGTGGACGTGGACGTGGACCTGGACGTGGACGTGGACGTGGTCGTGAACGTGGTCGTGGACGTGGTCGTGAACGTGGTCGTGGACGTGGACGTGGTCGTGGACGTGGACGTGGACGTGGTCGTGGACGTGGACGTGGACGTGGACGTGGACGTGGACGTGGACGTGGTCGTGGACGTGGACGTGGACGTGGACGTGGACGTGGACGTGGAGGTGGACGTGGACGTGGACGTGGACGTGGACGTGGACGTGGTCGTGGACGTGGACGTGGACGTGGACGTGGACGTGAACGTGGACCTGGACGTGGACGTGGACGTGGACGTAGACGTGGACGTGGACATGGACGTGGACGTGGACGTGGACGTGGACATGGTCGTGGACGTGGACATGGACGTGGACGTGGACGTGGACGTGGACGTGGACGAGGACGTGGACGTGGACCTGGACGTGGACGTGGACGTGGACGTGGACGTGGAGGTGGACGTGGAGGTGGACGTGGACATGGTCGTGGACGTGGACGTGGACGTGGACGTGGACGTGGACGTGGAGGTGGACGTGGTCGTGGACGTGGAGGTGGTCGTGGACGTGGACGTGGACGTGAACGTGGACGTGGACGTGGACGTGGACGTGGACGTGGACCTGGACGTGGACGTGGACGTGGTCGTGAACGTGGTCGTGGACGTGGTCGTGAACGTGGTCGTGGACGTGGACGTGGTCGTGGACGTGGACGTGGACGTGGTCGTGGACGTGGACGTGGACGTGGACGTGGACGTGGACGTGGTCGTGGACGTGGACGTGGACGTGGACGTGGACGTGGAGGTGGACGTGGACGTGGACGTGGACGTGGACGTGGACGTGGACGTGGACGTGGAGGTGGACGTGAAGGTGGACGTAGAGGTGGAGGTGGACGTGGACGTGGACGTGGTCGTGGACGTGGTCGTGGACGTGGACGTGGACGTGGACGTGGACGTGGAGGTGGACGTGGACGTGGAGGTGGACGTGGACGTGGACGTGGACTTGGACGTGGACCTGGACGTGGACGTGGACGTGGAGGTGGACGTGGAGGTGGACGTGGACGTGGACGTGGAGGTGGACGTGGACGTGGACGTGGACGTGGACGTGGACTTGGACGTGGACTTGGACGTGGACGTGGACGTGGACGTGGACGTGGACGTGGTCGTGGACGTGGTCGTGGAGGTGGACGTGGACGTGGACGTGGACGTGGACGTGGACGTGGACATGTGGACGTGGACGTGGACGTGGACGTGGTCGTGGACGTGGTCGTGGACGTGGTCGTGGACGTGGTCGTGGACGTGGACGTGGACGTGGACGTGGACGTGGACGTGGTCGTGGACGTGGTCGTGGACGTGGTCGTGGACTTGGTCGTGGACGTGGTCGTGGACTTGGACGTGGACGTGGACGTGGACGTGGACTTGGACCTGGTCGTGGACGTGGTCGTGGACGTGGACGTGGTCGTGGACGTGGTCGTGGACGTGGTCGTGGACGTGGTCGTGGACGTGGACGTGGACGTGGACGTGGACGTGGACTTGGACGTGGACGTGGACGTGGACGTGGAAGTGGACGTGGACGTGGACGTGGACGTGGACGTGGTCGTGGACGTGGACGTGGACCTGGACCTGGACGTGGACGTGGACGTGGACGTGGACGTGGTCGTGGACGTGGACGTGGACGTGGTCGTGGACGTGGACGTGGACGTGGACGTGGACGTGGACGTGGACGTGGACATGGACGTGGACGTGGACGTGGACCTGGACGTGAACGTGGACGTGGACGTGGACGTGGACGTGGACGTGGACGTGGTCGTGGACGTGGAGGTGGACGTGGTCGTGGACGTGGAGGTGGTCGTGGACGTGGACGTGGACGTGAACGTGGACGTGGACGTGGACGTGGACGTGGACGTGGACCTGGACGTGGACGTGGACGTGGTCGTGAACGTGGTCGTGGACGTGGTCGTGAACGTGGTCGTGAACGTGGACGTGGACATAGACGTGGACGTGGACGTGGACCTGGACGTGGACGTGGACGTGGAGGTGGACGTGGAGGTGGACGTGGAGGTGGACGTGGAGGTGGACGTGGACGTGGACGTGGACGTGGACGTGGACGTGGAGGTGGACGTGGAGGTGGACGTGGAGGTGGAGGTGGACGTGGACGTGGACGTGGACGTGGTCGTGGACGTGGACGTGGTCGTGGACGTGGTCGTGGACGTGGACGTGGACGTGGACGTGGAGGTGGACGTGGACGTGGAGGTGGACGTAGACGTGGACTTGGACGTGGAGGTGGACGTGGAGGTGGACGTGGAGGTGGACGTAGACGTGGTCGTGGACGTGGACGTGGACGTGGACGTGGTCGTGGACGTGGTCGTGGACGTGGACGTGGACGTGGACGTGGACGTGGACTTGGAGGTGGACGTGGACGTGGACGTGGACGTGGACGTGGACATGAACGTGGACGTGGACGTGGACGTGGACGTGGAGGTGGACGTGGACGTGGACGTGGACGTGGTCGTGGACGTGGACGTGGACGTGGACGTGGTCGTCGACGTGGACGTGGACGTGGACGTGGACGTCGACGTGGACGTGGACGTGGACGTGAACATGGACGTGGTCGTGGACGTGGACGTGGACGTGGACGTGGACGTGGAGGTGGACGTGGACGAGGACGTGGACGTGGACGTGGACGTGGACGTGGAGGTGGACGTGGACGTGGAGGACGTGGACGTGGACCTGGACGTGGAGGACGAGGACGTGGACGTGGACGTGGACGTGGACGTGAACGTGGTTGTGGACGTGGACGTGGAGGACGTGGACGTGGACGTGGACGTGGAGGACGTGGACGTGGACATGAACGTGGACATGGACGTGGACGTGGACGTGGACGTGGACGTGGACGTGGACGTGGTCGTGGACGTGGACGTGGTCGTGGTCGTGGACGTGAACGTGGACGTGGACGTGGACGTGGACGTGGACCTGGACGTGGACGTGGACCTGGACGTGGACGTGGACGTGGACGTGGACGTGGACCTGGACGTGGACGTGGACGTGGACCTGGACGTGGACGTGGACGTTGACGTGGACGTGGACGTGGACGTGGACTTGGACGTGGACGTGGACGTGGACTTGGACGTGGACGTGGACGTGGACGTGGACTTGGACGTGGACGTGGACGTGGACGTGGACGTGGACGTGGACGTGGACGTGGACACGTGGACGTGGACGTGGACGTGGACGTGGTCGTGGATGTGGACGTGGACGTGGACGTGGACGTGGACGTGGACCTGGACGTGGACGTGGACGTGGACGTGGACGTGGACTTGGACGTGGACGTGGACGTGGACGTGGACGTGGACGTGGACGTGGACTTGGACGTGGACGTGGACGTGGACGTGGACATGGACGTGAACGAGGACGTGGTCCTGGACGTGGACGTGGACGTGGACGTGGACGTGGACGTGGACGTGGACGTGGTCGTGGACGTCGACGTGGACGTGGACGTGGTCGTGGACGTGGAGGTGGACGTGGAGGTGGACGTGGACGTGGACGTGGACGTGAACATGGACGTGGACGTGGAGGTGGACGTGGACGTACATGTGGACGTGGACGTGGACGTGGACGTACACGTGGACGTACACGTGGACGTGGACGTGGACGTGGACGTGGACGTGGACATGGTTGTGGACGTGGACGTGGAGGACGTGGACGTGGACGTGGACGTGGACATGGACCTGGACGTGGACGTGGACGTGGACGTGGACATGGACGTGGACGTGGACGCGTGGACGTGGACGTGGACGTGGACGTGGACATGGACGTGGACGTGGACGTGGTCGTGGTCGTGGACGTGGACGTAGACGTGGACGTGGACGTGGACGTGGACGTGGACGTGGACGTGGACATGGACGTGGACGTGGACGTGGACGTACACGTGGACGTGGACGTGGACGTGGACGTGGACGTGGACGTGGACGTGGACGTGGAGATGGACGTGGACGTGGACGTGGACGTGGTTGTGGACGTGGAGATGGACGTGGACGTGGACGTGGACGTGGTCGTGGACGTGGACGTGGACGTGGTTGTGGACGTGGACGTGGACGTGGACGCGTGGACGTGGACGTGGACGTGGACGTGGACGCGTGGACGTGGTCGTGGACGTGGACGTGGACATGGACATTGACGTTGACGTGCACGTGGACGTGGACGTGGACGTGGACGTGGCCGTGGACGTGGACGTGGACGTGGACGTGGACGTGGACGTCGACGTGGACATGGTCGTGGACGTGGACGTGGACGTGGACGTGGACGTGGACGTGGACGTGGACATGGTCGTGGACGTGGACGTGGACGTGGACGTGGACGTGGTCGTGGACGTGGACGTGGTCGTGGACGTGGACGTGGACGTGGACGTGGACGTGGACGTTGGCGTGGACGTGGACGTGGACGTGGACGTGGACGTGGACGTGGACGTGGGCGTGGACGTGGACGTGGACGTGGACATGGACGTGGTCGTCGACGTGGTCGTGAACGTGGACGTGGACGTAGACGTGGACGTGGACATGGTCGTGGACGTGGATGTGGAGGTGGACATGGTCGTGGACGTGGACGTGGAGGACTTGGACGTGGAGATGGACGTGGACGTGGACGTGGACGTGGACGTGGACGTGGACTTGGACGTGGACGTGGACGTGGACGTGGACGTGGACGTGGACGTGGTCGTGGAGGTGGACGTGGACGTGGACGTGGACGTGGACGTGGACTTGGACGTGGACGTGGACGTGGACGTGGACTTGGACGTGGACGTGGTCGTGGACGTGGACGTGGACGTGGACGTGGACGTGGACGTGGACGTGGACGTGGTCGTGGACGTGGACGTGGACGTGGACGTGGAGATGGACGTGGACTTGGACGTGGACCTGGACGTGGACGTGGACGTGGACCTGGTCGTGGACGTGGACGTGGACCTGGTCGTGGACGTGGACGTGGACGTGGACGTGGACGTGGACGTGGTCGTGGACGAAGACGTGGACGTGGACGTGGACGTGGACGTGGTCGTGGACAAAGACGTGGACCTGGACGTGGTCGTGGACATGGACGTGGACATGGACGTGGACGTGGTCGTGGACGAAGACGTCGACGTGGACGTGGACGTGGACGTGGACGTGGACATGAACGTGGATATGAACGTGGACGTGGACGTGACCGTGAACGTGGACATGGACGTAGACGTGGACATGGTCGTGGACGTGGACATGGACGTCGACGTGGATGTGGAGATGGACGTGGACGTGGACATGGTCGTGGACGTGGACGTGGACGTGGACGTGGACATGGACGTGGACATGGACATGGACGTGGACGTGGACGTGGACGTGGACGTGGACGTGGACATGGTCGTGGACGTGGTCGTGGACGTGGACATGGACGTGGACGTGGTCGTGGACGTGGACGTGGACGTGGACGTGGTCGTGGACGTGGACGTGGACGTGGACGTGGACGTGGACTTGGACGTGGACGTGGACGTGGACGTGGACGTGGACGTGACGTGGACTTGACCTGGACGTGAACGTGGACGTGGACGTGGACGTGGATGTGGACGTGGATGTGGACTTGACCTGGACGTGGACGTGGACGTGGACGCGGACTTGACCTGGACGTGGACGTGGGACGCGGACACGGACGTTGGACGGGGACGCGGACTTGACCTGAACGTGGACGTGGGACGCGGACGCGGACGTTGGACGGTGACGCGGACGCGGACGTTGGACGGGGACGTGGACGCGGACGTGGACGCGGACGCGGACGTGGACGCGGATGCGGACGTGCGGACGTGGACGTGGACGTGGTCGTGGACGCGGTCGTGGACGTGGACGTGGACGTGGACGTGGACGTGGTCGTGGACGTGGACGTGGACGTGGACGTGGTCGTGGACGTGGACGTGGACGTGGACGTGGACGTGGTCGTGGACGTGGTCGTGGACGTGGACGTGGACCTGGACGTGGACGTGGACGTGGACGTGGACGTACACGTGGACGTGGACGTGGACCTGGACGTACACGTGGACGTGGACGTGGACATGGACGTGGACGTGGACGTGGACGTGGACGACGTGGACGTGGACGTGGACGTGGACGTGGACGTGGACGTGGTCGTGGACGTGGACGTGGACGTGGACGTGGACGTGGACGTGGACGTGGACGTGGACGTGGTCGTGGACGTGGACGTGGACGTGGACGTGGACGTGGAGATGGACGTGGACTTGGACGTGGACTTGGACGTAGACGTGGACGTGGACCTGGTCGTGGACGTGGACGTGGACCTGGTCGTGGACGTGGACGTGGACGTGGACGTGGACGTGGTCGTGGACGAAGACGTGGACGTGGACGTGGACGTGGACGTGGACGTGGTCGTGGACAAAGACGTGGACCTGGACGTGGTCGTGGACATGGACGTGGACGTGGACGTGGACGTGGTCGTGGACGAAGACGTGGACGTGGACGTGGACGTGGACGTGGACGTGGACATGAACGTGGATATGAACGTGGACGTGGACGTGACCGTGAACGTGGACGTGGACGTAGACGTGGACATGGTCGTGGACGTGGACATGGACGTCGACGTGGATGTGGACATGGACGTGGACGTGGACATGGTCGTGGACGTGGACGTGGACGTGGACGTGGACATGGACGTGGACATGGACATGGACGTGGACGTGGACGTGGACGTGGACGTGGACGTGGACATGGTCGTGGACGTGGTCGTGGACGTGGACATGGACGTGGACGTGGTCGTGGACGTGGACGTGGACGTGGACGTGGTCGTGGACGTGGACGTGGACGTGGACGTGGACTTGGACGTGGACGTGGACGTGGACGTGGACGTGGACGTGACGTGGACTTGACCTGGACGTGAACGTGGACGTGGACGTGGACGTGGATGTGGACGTGGATGTGGACTTGACCTGGACGTGGACGTGGACGTGGACGCGGACTTGACCTGGACGTGGACGTGGGACGCGGACACGGACGTTGGACGGGGACGCGGACTTGACCTGGACGTGGACGTGGGACGCGGACGCGGACGTTGGACGGGGACGCGGACGCGGACGTTGGACGGGGACATGGACGCGGACGTAGACGTGGACGCGGACGTGGACGCGGATGCGGACGTGCGGACGTGGACGTGGACGTGGTCGTGGACGCGGTCGTGGACGTGGACGTGGACGTGGACGTGGTCGTGGACGTGGACGTGGACGTGGACGTGGTCGTGGACGTGGACGTGGACGTGGACGTGGTCGTGGACGTGGTCGTGGACGTGGACGTGGACCTGGACGTGGACGTGGACGTGGACGTGGACGTGGACGTACACGTGGACGTGGACGTGGACCTGGACGTGGACCTGGACGTGGACGTGGACGTGGACGTGGACGTACACGTGGACGTGGACGTGGACCTGGACGTACACGTGGACGTGGACGTGGACATGGACGTGGACGTGGACGACGTGGACGTGGACGTGGACGTGGACGTGGACTTGGTCGTGGATGTGGACGTGGACGTGGACGTGGACGTGGACGTGGACGTGTACGTGGACGTGGTCGTGGACGTGGACGTGGACGTGGACGTGGACGTGGACGTGGACCTGGACGTACACGTGGACGTGGACGTGGACGTGGACGTGGACGTGGAGGACGTGGACGTGGACGTGGACGTGGAGGACGTGGACGTGGACATGGACGTGGACGTGGACGTGGACGTGGACGTGGACATGGACGTGGACGTGGACGCGTGGACGTGGACGTGGACGTGGACGTGGACATGGACGTGGACGTGGTCGTAGACGCACCGTGTGTTGAACCCACCGTGTGTTGAACCCACCGTGTGTTCAACCCACCGTGTGTTCAACCCACCGTGTGTTCAACCCACCGTGTGATCAACCCACCGTGTGATCAACCCAGCGTGTGATCAACCCACCTTGTGATCAACCCATCGTATGTTCAACCCACCATGTGTTCAACCCACCGTGTGTTCCACCCACCGTGTGTTCAACCCACCGTATGATCAACCCACTGTGTGTTCAACCCAACGTGTGTTCCACCCACGGTATGATCAACCCACCGTGTGTTGAACCCACCATGTGTTCAACCCACCGTGTGTTCCACCCACCGTGTGTTCAACACACCATGTGTTCAACTCACCGTGTGCTCAACTTGTCGTGTGTTCAACCCACTGTGTGTTCAACCCACCGTGTGTTCAACCCACCGTGTGTTCAACCCACCGTATGTTCAACCCACCATGTGTTCAACCCACCGTGTGTTCCACCCACCGTGTGTTGAACCCACCGTGTGTTGAACCCACCGTGTGTTGAGCCCACCGTGTGTTCAACCCACCGTGTGTTCAACCTATTGTATGTTCAACCCACCGTGTGTTCAACCCACCATGTGTTCAACGCACCGTGTGTTCAACCCACCGTGTGTTCAACCCACCGTGTGTTCAACCCACCGTGTGTTCAACCCACCGTGTGTTCAACCCACCGTGTGATCAACCCACCGTGTGATCAACCCACCGTGTGATCAACCCACCGTATGATCAACCCACCGTATGTTCAACCCACCATGTGTTCAACCCACCGTGTGTTCCACCCACCGTTTGTTCAACCCACCGTGTGTTCCACCCACCGTGTGTTCCACCCACCGTGTGTTCAACCCACCGTATGATCAACCCACTGTGTGTTCAACCCAACGTGTGTTCCACCCACGGTATGATCAACCCACCGTGTGTTGAACCCACCATGTGTTCAACCCACCGTGTGTTCCACCCACCGTGTGTTCAACACACCATGTGTTCAACTCACCGTGTGCTCAACCTGTCGTGTGTTCAACCCACCGTGTGTTCAACCCACCGTGTGTTCAACCCACCGTGTGTTCAACCCACCGTATGTTCAACCCACCATGTGTTCAACCCACCGTGTGTTCCACCCACCGTGTGTTGAACCCACCGTGTGTTGAACCCACCGTGTGTTCAGCCCACCGTGTGTTCAACACACCGTGTGTTCAACCTATCGTATGTTCAACCCACCGTGTGTTCAACCCACCATGTGTTCAACGCACCGTGTGTTCAACCCACCGTGTGTTCAACCCACCGTGTGTTCAACCCACCGTGTGTTCAACCCACCGTGTGTTCAACCCACCGTGTGATCAACCCACCGTGTGATCAACCCACCGTGTGATCAACCCACCGTATGATCAACCCACAGTATGTTCAACCCACCATGTGTTCAACCCACCGTGTGTTCCACCCACCGTGTGTTCAACCCACCGTGTGATCAACCCACCGTGTGTTCAACCCACCGTGTGTTCCACCCATGGTGTGATCAACCCATTGGTGTTTAACCCACCATGTGTTCAACCCACCGTGTGTTCCACCCACCGTGTGTTCAACGCACCGTATGTTCAACCCACCGTGTGCTCAACCTATCGTGTGTTCAACCCACCGTGTGTTCAACCCACCGTGTGATCAACCCACCGTGTGTTCAACCTATCATGTGTTCAACCCACCATGTGTTCGACCCACCGTGTGTTCAACCCACCGTGTGTTCAACCCACCGTGTGTTCAACCCACCGTGTGTACAACCCACCGTGTGTTCAACCCACCGTGTGTTCAACCCACCGTGTGTTCAACCCACCGTGTGTTCAACCCACCGTGTGATCAACCCACCGTGTGATCAACCCACCGTGTGATCAACCCACCGTGTGATCAACCCACCGTATGTTCAACCCACCATGTGTTCAACCCACCGTGTGTTCAACCCACCGTGTGTTCAACCCACCATCTGATCAACCCACCGTGTGTTCAACCCACCGTGTGTTCCACCCACGGTGTGATCAACCCACCGTGTGTTCCACCCACCGTGTGTTCAACGCACCGTGTGTTGAGCCCACCGTGTGTTCAACCCACCGTGTGATCAGCCTTCCGTGTGTTCAACCCACCGTGTGTTCAATATACCGTGTGTTCAACCCCCCGTGTTTTCAACCCACCGTGTGTTAAACCCACCGTGTGTTCAACCCACCGTGTGTTCCACCCACCGTGTGTTCAACTCACCGTGTGTTTATCCCACCGTGTGTTCAACCCACCATGTGTTAAACCCACCGTGTGTTCAACCCACCATGTGTTCAACCCACCGTGTGTTCCACCCACCGTGTGTTCAACGCACCGTGTGTTCAACCCACCGTGTGCTCAACCTATCGTGTGTTCAACCGACCGTGTGTTCAACCCACTGTATGTTCCACCCACCGTGTGATCAACCCACCGTATGTTCAACCCACCATGTGTTCAACCCACCGTGTGTTCCACCCACCATGTGTTGAACCCACCGTGTGTTGAACCCACCGTGTGTTGAACCCACCGTGTGTTCAACCCACCGTGTGTTCAACCCATCGTGTGTTCAACCCACCGTGTGTTCAACCCACCGTGTGTTCAACGCACCGTGTGTTCAACCCACCGTGTGTTCAACCCACCGTGTGTTCAACCCACCGTGTGTTCAACCCACCGTGTGTTCAACCCACCGTGTGTTCAACCCACCGTGTATTCAACCCACCATGTGTTCAACCCACCGTGTGATCAACCCACCGTGTGATCAACCCACCGTGTGATCAACCCACCGTATGTTCCACCCACCATGTGTTCAACCCACCCTGTGTTCCACCCACCGTGTGTTCAACCCACCGTGTGATCAACCCACCGTGTGTTCAACCCACCGTGTGTTCCACCCACGGTGTGATCAACCCACCGTGTGTTCAACCCACCGTGTGTTCAACCCACCGTGTGTTCCACCCACCGTGTGTTCAACCCACCGTGTGTTCCACCCACCGTGTCATCAACCCACCGTATGTTCAACCCACTATGTGTTCAACCCACCGTGTGTTCCACCCACCATGTGTTGAACCCACCGTGTGTTGAACCCACCGTGTGTTGAACCCACCGTGTGTTCAACCCACCGTGTGTTCAACCCATCGTGTGTTCAACCCACCGTGTGTTCAACCCACCGTGTGTTCAACCCACCGTGTGTTCAACCCACCGTGTGTTCAACCCACCGTGTGTTCAACCCACCGTGTGTTCAACCCACCGTGTGTCCAACCCACCGTGTATTCAACCCACCGTGTGTTCAACCCACCGTGTGATCAACCCACCGTGTGATCAACCCACCGTGTGATCAACCCACCGTATGTTCCACCCACCATGTGTTCAACCCACCGTGTGTTCCACCCACCGTGTGTTCAACCCACCGTGTGATCAACCCACCATGTGTTCAACCCACCGTGTGTTCCACCCACGGTGTGATCAACCCACCGTGTGTTCAACCCACAGTGTGTTCAACCCACTGTGTGTTCCACCCACCGTGTGTTCAACCCACCGTGTGTTCCACCCACCGTGTGATCAACCCACCGTATGTTCAACCCACCGTGTGATCAACCCACCGTATGTTCAACCCACGGTGTGTTCAACCCACCGTGTATTCCACCCATTGTGTGTTGAACCCACCGTGTGTTCAACCCACCGTGTGTTCAACCCACCGTGTGATCAACCCACCGTGTGATCAACCCACCGTGTGATCAACCCACCGTATGTTCAACCCACCATGTGTTCAACCCACCGTGTGTTCCACCCACCATGTGTTCAACCCACCGTGTGATCAACCCACCGTGTGTTCAACCCACTGTGTGTTCTACCCACAGTGTGATCAACCCACCGTGTGTTCAACCCACCATGTGTTCAACCCACAGTGTGTTCCACCCACCGTGTGTTCAACCCACCGTGTGTTCCACCCACCGTGTGATCAACCCACCGTATGTTCAACCCACCATGTGTTCAACCCACCGTGTGTTCCACCCACCGTGTGATCAACCCACCGTATGTTCAACCCACCATGTGTTCAACCCACCGTGTGTTCAACCCACCGTGTGTTCCACCCACCGTGTGATCAACCCACCGTATGTTCAACCCACCGTGTGATCAACCCACCGTATGTTCAACCCACCGTGTGTTCAACCCACCGTGTATTCCACCCATCGTGTGTTGAACCCACCGTGTGTTCAACCCACCGTGTGTTCAACCCACCGTGTGATCAACCCACCGTGTGATCAACCCACCGTGTGATCAACCCACCGTGTGATCAACCCACCGTATGTTCAACCCACCATGTGTTCAACCCACCATGTGTTCCACCCACCGTGTGTTCAACCCACCGTGTGATCAACCCACCGTGTGTTCAACCCATTGTGTGTTCCACCCACAGTGTGATCAACCCACCGTGTGTTCAACCCACCATGTGTTCAACCCACCGTGTGTTCCAACCACCGTGTGTTCAACCCACCGTGTGTTCCACCCACCGTGTGATCAACCCACCATATGTTCAACCCACCATGTGTTCAACCCACCGTGTGTTCCACCCACCGTGTGATCAACCCACCGTATGTTCAACCCACCATGTGTTCAACCCACCGTGTGTTCAACGCACCGTGTGTTCAACCCACCGTGTGTTCAACCCACCGTGTGTTCAACCCACCGTGTGTTCAACCCACCGTGTGTTCAACCACCGTGTGTTCAACCCACCGTGTATTCAACCCACCGTGTGTTCAACCCACCGTGTGATCAACCCACCGTGTGATCAACCCACCGTGTGATCCACCCACCGTATGTTCCACCCACCATGTGTTCAACCCACCGTGTGTTCCACCCACCGTGTGTTCAACCCACCGTGTGATCAACCCACCGTGTGTTCAACCCACGGTGTGATCAATCCACCGTGTGTTCAACCCACCGTGTATTCAACCCACCGTG